GATAGGGAGGGTGGGAGGGAGGGAGATGCAAGAGATATGGGAACATATGTATATGTATAACTGATTCACTTTGTTATAAAGCAGAAACTAACACACCATTGTAAAGCAATTATACTCCAATAAAGATGTTAAAGAAAAAAAGAATTTTATACGTCTGAGAATTCTGTATAACTTGCACGTGGGTCTTTCCATTTGGGTGGAGGAGAAAGATCACAGTGTTATCTGTCTGGAGGTGTCAGAGCACAGCTGAAGGGCAGTTGCAAATGGCCGTTGCTGTTTTTGAGAGTAGTGGCTGAAGAAGGAGAGAAAGCAAGGGTCTCAAGAGTCGAGGCTCATCCGTAGAGGCAGTACTGGGGAGTCAGGGAGTATCAGTGGGGAGGAGGCCAGGGAGCAGGGACAGGACTAAGGTGAGACTGCATCTGAATTACCAGGGGAAGAACACAGAGGGGTTCTGATTCAGCTGGTTTCCGATAAGGCACCCTAGGGCACATGATTTAAGAAGGCATCACTCTTAAGGTAATCAAGGGCTGACAGCCCATTTGCTAGTGAGTGCCTCCTTAAATTTCGAACCCTAGGCTCCTGCTACCTCACTCTAGAGGTGGATATTCTGTCCAAACCAGGGAAATGGCCAGGGCAGCCCAGAATGGCTCATTTTGGATGCGAGGAGTAGCAGAGAGATAAAGAAGAGAGACTTCTTGGACAGCCAGGCAGAAACAACAGCCAGGAAGAGGCTAACCTCAGTTTAATCTAGAATCACTCTTTTAAAAAATGTCTTATCAAGGTATAATTGTCCAATAAAATTGTAAGATATTTAAAGTGTACCTCATGATTTGCTATCTGTATCTTCCATCTAGTTCATTAATACATCTATCACCTCATATATTTACCTTTTCATTTTTGGTGAGAACATTTAAGTTCTATTGTCTCAGCCAATTTCAGTTATATATTACATCGTTATAAGCTATAGTCATCCATGTTATAACTTACATTAATTATAAGAGGAATAAGATGCTCAGACCTTATTCATTGTATAACAAAAATTTTGTACACTTTTACTAAACTCTCCCTATTTCTCCCACCCCCAGACTGGAATCACTTTTCTACTGTTTCTGTGAGTTTGACTTTTTATTCAGATCCCACATGTAAGCGATACTACGCAGTGTTTGTCTTTCTCTCTCTGGCTTATGTCACTTAGCATAATGCCCTCAAGGTCCATTCCTGTTGTTGCAAATGTCAGGATTTCCTTCTTTCTCATGGCTGATTAATATTCCATTGTATATATAGACCACATCTTCAGTATCCATTTCATCCATTGATGGACACAGGTTTCTCCACATCTTGGCTACTGTGACTAATGCTGCAACGAACATGGGAGTGCAGACATTTCTTCCATATCCTGTTTTCATTTCCTTTGGATATATACCCAGAATCAGGACTGCTGGATCACACGGTAGTTCTATTTTCAATTTTTTGAGAAACCTCCATACCGTTTTCCATAGTGGCTGCACCAATTTGCATTTCTGCCAACAGTGCACAAGTGTTCCATTTTCTCCCCATCCTTGCCAACACTTGTTATCTCTTGTCTTTTTGATGCCTGCCATTCTGACAGGTGTGAGGTGATATCTTATTGTGGTTTTGATTTGTATTTCCCTGATGATTAGTGATGTGGAACACCTTTTCATGTACCTGTTGGCAATCTATATGTCTTCTTTGGAAAAATGCCTATTCAGATCCTCTTCCCACTTTAAAATTGGATTTTTTTTTTCTTGGCCATTGAGTTATATGAGTTCTTGTATATTTTGCACATTAACCTCCTATTAAATATATGATTTGCAAATTTTTCTCCCATTCTACATGTTGCCTTTTCATTTTATTGATGGTTTCTTTTGCTGTGCAGAGCCTTTTAATTTTATGTAGTCCCACTTGTTTATTTTTGCTTTTGTTGCCTTTACTTCTGGTGTCAAATCCAAAAAATCATTGCCAAGACCAGTGTCAAGGAGCTCACTCCCTGTGTTTTCTTCTAGGAGTTTTACAGTATCAGGTCTTAAATATAAGTCTATAGTAAATTTTGAGTTGATTTTCCTGTATGGTGTAAGATAAGGGTCTGGTTTCATTCTTTTACATGTAGCTGTTCAGTTTTCCCAACACTATTTATTGAAGAGACTACCCTTCCTCATTGTATATTCTTGCCTCCTTTGTCACAAATGAATCGACCATGGGTTTATTGCTGGACCCTCTATTCCGTTCCACTGATCTATGTGTCTGTTTTTATGCCAGTGCTATACTGTTTTGATTACTATAGCTTTGTAATATAGTTTGAAATCCAGTTTCGTTCTTCTTTCTGAAGATTGCTTTGACTATTTTAGAGTCTTCTGTAGTTCTGTAGAAATTTTAGGATTGTTTGTTCTATTTCTGTGAAAAATACCATTGGAATTTTGATAGGGATTGTGTTGACTTTGTAGATTGCTTTGGGTAGTATGGACATTTTAACAATGTTAATTCTTCCTATCCAGAAGCACAAAATATCTTTCCATTTATTTGTGTCTTCCACAATTTCTTGTATCAATGTCTTATGGTTTTCAGTGTACAGGTCTTTCACCTCCTTGGTTAAATTTATTCCTAGGCATTTTATTCTTTTTGATGCAACTGTAAATGGGATCATTTTCCTAATTTCTCTTTCTGATAGCTATTAGTCTATGGAAACACAACAGATTTTTGTTTATTGATTTTGTATCCTGAAACTTTACTGAATTCATTTATTTTAACAGCTTTTTGATGGAATCTTTAGAGCTTTCTAGATATAATATCATGTCATCTGCAAATAATGACAGTTTTTACTTCTTTCTTTCCAAGTTGGATGCCTTTAATTATTTTTTTGCTTGCCCAGTTTGACTTGACTTGACTTCCAATATTATGTTGAATAAAAGTGGCAATAGTGGGCATCCTTGCCTTGTTCCTTATCTTCAAGGAAAGGTTTATAGCTTTACACCATTGAGTATGACGTTAGCTGTGGTCTGTCATTTTTCTCTAATAAACTCTTTCCATATTGTTATAAGCCTTTGGTTAATTTCCAGAGTTCTAAAAAAGTTAATTCTGACAAATTTTTTTGCAGTTTTCTCATTGCTATGGAAGAGACAATTTGGGGGGGACTTTGCCCATTTTCACTGACATCTCTGCACTATATTTGAAATGCCCTTCTATGTGATTGCCTTCTCATTTCTCAAAACTGAGCTCAAGTGTCTCCTCCATTGTGAAGGCTTCTCTGGGTCCTCTGAGCAAAGGAGTCAGCTATTCCTTTATTCTCCTATACCTCTGTGTTCAAGCTTCTGTTATTTCACTTTTTACAAAAAAATAAAAAAACAACAGTTCTTTATATCTGTTCCTGTCTCTCCTCCCAGCCTGCAAGCTCCTAGCCTGTGACTTATTTATTCCTCATGCCCAGGCTAGTTCCTGACACATAGCAAGTATACAGATTTGTAGGCTGAAGAGTATTGTCCTAGGAGACCTCAGCACTTAGCCAAGAGCTTCTCAGCTCCAGCCACCATGTTCTCCTCCTGCTTCTATGACTCATAGCTGACCTCTGTCCCTTCATTGTTAGTGAGGTCCAACAGTAATCATTAATAATAATAGCAGCTAATATTTACTGAATAGAGTCTGTGCTAGATACTAGCTATAAAGCTAAGAATTTTATATTCAATAGCTCATTTAATTTCAGCATAAACCCTATGAGGTAGGTAATATTATCATAACTTTACAGGTAAGGCTGAGTAAGGGAAGTGGCAGAACTGGGGTTGGATGAAGGCCTGACTCTAAAGCCCCTGTTCTTAACTGTCTCATCTGAGGGATCTATGAGAGGCATTTGGAGGAAGGGGAGCCACACCAGTCTTTCCCTTCCTTGGGACCTCTTCTTCCTCCTTGACTAAAGAGATATGGCTCCCAGGTGTGTTCAGCCCATCCCGGGCTCAGCTGGGCCACCTTGTGCTTTGAAGCAACATAGCACTGAGGTCTCCTATAGGAACTGGTCCCCAGGGAAGTGGGGTGGAGAGGCCCCATTTCCCTGGCATTGGAGTGAGCGGTGCAGCCCTGAGGAGACAGGTCACAAAGATCCCTCATCAACATCCCAATTTCAACATGATGGTAGCCCCAGACTGCTGGAAAAGCCAACCCACACAGAATTGAGTTATCGTCCAGAGGACTCAAGCATTTGAACAAATGCTAATATTAGTCTCTTGAATACAGCCCTGTCAGCGGGAAGTGGGGGGGATTGTGCCAGCATGCATGGGGCACACTTTTTGGCACAAGGGATCTTGTTGCTAAGCAACAGTAGCTGGCTTCCCCTCCTCCTCCTAACCTTTTTCTCTGCTTCTAAGCTTCCAGTTAGCTGACGGGAGGGGCTAGGGCTGCCCAGCCCAGGCTAGCCCTTGACTCCCTTTCCTGTGACAAGGGATCTATTCATGGTTTCTGAGCAGAGTTCATTGTCTTTCTGGTGTGTGTGTGTGTGTGTGTGTGTGTGTGTGTGTGTGTGTGTAGGACGGTGAAGGGAGAAGCCATGTGTGAACTAGGGAGCCCTCATCTTCTAACCAAGCTGGCCAGGCTATTTAATCAATGCTGATCCAAGAACAGGAGCAGAACGTTACCTAGCAGACCTTGAGGTTTTGCATTGGTGCCACGGACCCATATGGTAAGGCCATACCCTGCTCTGCCCTCTCTTTCTTTCTACTCCCACCCCTGACCCCACCCTTGGAATTCTAGGCTCTTGGAAGGAATCTCCTCCGGCAGCTCTGGTGCAGAGGAGAGGGGGCTCTAGAGGGGACCTGTGTGGTCAACCTCCTGGTTTGATTTTCCCCAGGTGTGGCTTTTATTTCCCACTCTTGTCCCCCATATGCCTAGCCAGGTACTTTGCCTGTAGGCAGCACTTAGCAAATCATTATTACATGAACTCCTCCTCAAAAAAAGGATGAAGAAGTCCTGTACCATTAAAGACCATTTTTGCAGGCTACCACATGGCCTTGGACAGGTGAGTGTTGAGGTGGGGCAGCTCCCGAGGTGAGGCCAGTTTGCTCAGAGGCTGAACTTCAAGCCAGGCTCCCTTGATACTGAGACAGGAAGAAAGGCTGAGCATGCTCTGGAATTCTCTCTAGACCAGGCTGTGTTGACAGGGGAAGGTGGTCTGCAGGGGAGACGGGACTTACTTCAACTTTAAGGGACTCTTTCTACTTTACTGGATTATAAATTCATTAAAGAAAGGACCCATAGTTTATATGTATTTCTTATTAATATATTATTTATTATACTTAATATTTGTGTTGTACTTTATAAAACCCTTTCAGCCACATAATCTGTTTTCTTCCTCCCTCCCTCCCTCCCTCCCTCCCTCCCTCCCTCCCTTCCTTCCTTCCTTCCTTCCTTCCTTCCTTCCTTTTATTCAGTGTGCATTAACTGAATTCCCACTTTGTGCTAGGCCTTGAGCTAGACTCTGGGATGCCTAGACCAGAGAGGAAGGAGAGAGAGAGAGAAGTAAATGAGCATAATAGAGGGTCACAATAGGTGCTACCTGGGTTGAAGAAAGCTTCCTGGAAAAATGACACTTAAGCTGAATCTTGCAAAGTCATAGGAGACAGTATACTGGGAAGGGGACAGCAGGTGCCATGCCTCCGTGGTGTGAGAGTGTGTGAGGATGCTGAGGACAGGCACGTGTGTTAGTATCACCCTGAGTTACGCTGTGGAGGAGTTAGTGCTGCCAGGTGAGGATGGAGAGGTGAGGAGGGGCGAGAGCACAGAGGATGCTGTGAGCTATGCAAGGGACATTTGGATTTACCCTGAAGGCTACAAAGATCATTAGATGCTCTAAAGATGGTGTTAACTTGCTAATGTTTGCATTTTAGAAAGATTGCTCTGGCATGGAGAAGGAATGGAGACAAAGCTAGATGGGGGAGACTACTCAATGTGTAGCAGGGGTTATCACTCTTATTTCATAAAGGAGAAAGTTGAAATTTGGAGGGCTGATGAGTTACCAAGTTCATATAGTAGGCTGTAGACCTAGCTTTGAACTGCTGGTCCAGTGTTTTTGCCAAGATCTTACTTTCCATTACTCTTCTTCACGGCACATGAATTTTAGGCAAATGTCTGACCTACCCCACTCTATGCTTTCTTACTCCCATTCCTTTGCCTCCTCAACACCTTTTTCCTGGAATACCCAATGACCATATATGTCAGCTCAAACCCTATTCATCTATGAGGGCCTGTCTCAGAGGCTGCCTCTTCCAGGAAGCCTTTCTTGATCTCCCCAACAAGAAGTAAGCTCTCCTTTGGAATTCCAATGTTAGTTAAACTGAACTTCTCTTCTGTCACTGAACTTGTGCTGCTTTGTTTACATGACTTATCTTCAGGACTCACAGGTAGGTTCTTTGAGGCGGTGGTTGTGGAGGTCCATGTTAATTTACCTTGAACTTACAGTATCCCCCACCGTGGACTGTCCACTTGGGCTGAATACTATTTACTGGGTGAATGAATCCATGGTTCGTAGGGGAGGGGCAGTTTTTCCTCCAAGATAGGAGGGAAAGAGGAAGGATGGGATCTTAGGATCTGAGGAGGGATGTTCAGGGATTCAGTGGATGTCTTTCATGCCACTATGTCACCACTTCCAAGGGGGTGGTGAAGAGTGCGGGCGTTGGAGTTGGCCCAATCTGGGCTCAGGTCTCTGCTCTGAAACTTACTGGCTGTGTGAGAGAAAGGTAGGTGGGGCTAGGGGCTCCAGGAGAGCAGGGAGGCCCGAGGGGCATCTATGGGAACACACATGGAGTCCCCAAGATGAAAAAAGGCTCACAAGTGGCAACGAGGGCCCGGCTGGAGTTAGAGAGTGGGGACTTCTTGTGGTCGGTGGTGATTTCTCTCCTTGGTGAGTGACTGACAGCTATTTCCCCAGAGCCTGATGCTGGATGGCCAAGCCCCCATGGAGGCTCAGTATGCAGAGGAGAGTCCAGGATCCTGGATCTTCAGAGCAGAGCCAGGAGACCCACTGCGGAGGCCCGAGGCCCGGCAGCAACCCAGTAGGCCAGACTGGGCCATCGGGGAATGACAGGGTGGGGGCAGTGAAGGGACAATCTTCCTACATCCTCCAGATTCTTTTTCCCCAGATCTTCCCAGGTCAGCCTTAAATGACTGATGGTGAGAGGCTGTCTCACTATTTATCCCAGACCTGCTTTTGCTGTTTTCCATTTGGGGGCTTGAGTGGGCTCCGAGGCTCCAGTGATCAGACCTCTGTCCCCTACCCCCCCAGGATGATGGGGCAGGGGGAGGCGCGCAGGTGCAGTGGGGTAAACTACCGCTGCAAGTCGGTGGCTGCCTGGTCCCGGGGTGGTGCCTCGGGGTGAAGTGTGGCTGGCAGGCGGAGGCAGGGTCCCCAGATGCTCCTCTGCCCTCCTCCCCCACAGTCTCTTGGGCAGGGCGCTGGTGCACAGGGCGGCGCGGCTGGGCGGCGTTGGGAGCCCTGGTGTTGCTGGCTGGTGCAAGCATTGGCTCCTGGCTTCTAGGTCAGTGCTGGGACCTTCAGTGGCAGGGGAGGGGCAGCGAACAGTATCTGGGGGACGCTGGGAGAGTGGAGCAGGTGCTGAGCAGGTGTTCAAGGCAGGTGGGATGAGCGTCTTTTCCGTCTAGTCTGAGTAGACAGCATGTAGAAATGGGGTGAAGGGCCAGCAGCAGGGACTCGGGCTCTCCGTAAAGAACATTTCAGTCCTACAGTGAGAAATGTGCTCGAGTGGATGATCCAGGGAGGCCCTTGTCAAACTTCTCCAAGAGATCTTTCCCAGTCAGAGGGAGAGACAGAGACAGAGACAGAGACATTGAGAGCGCAATGTCTCTCTTCTGCACGTTGCGGGGGGCCTGCCTCGGGCAGGGCGGTGAGGAGCCCCCCTGAGGCTGCCTTTGCCTCCCTCTGCTGCAGGTCCCTTGCTCTGCTCCTTGGCCCCCTCCTAGGGGAGTCCCTTCCTTCCCCCAGCCTCTCCTTGTCTTTGTCCTCTGAAGCGCTGTATCTGTGGCCGGCTGCCCCTCAGCCTGTTCCTGGGACCCTGCAGGATGAGGATATGAGCTTAAACTGCTCGGAGGCCAGCGGTGAGGAAGCCCTGCTCCCCTCGCTTCCCAGAGCAGGTGGGCCTCGCCCCAAGGTCGCAGGACTCCCACCTGGGCCCCGGACCCCTGCACAGCTGTGGGATCCTCCCTTCTGGCTGGGGGCAAGAGGACCAAACTGAAGGGCCACGAGTTCGCTGCCATCCACCTGTGTCTCCCGTACTGTGAGGGTGGAGCCACAGCCCAGCCTTGTAGAGCTGATCTCTGATTTAGGGCTTTCAGCACTCCTGGGGGACGGTCTTGATCTCTAGCGGGGGCATGGCCAAAACCCCAGGCTGCCAGGAGAGATGGCGACTCGCCCTTTGGGCAGCGTGAGGCTGTGGTGTGGGGAAGAGAAGCCAGGTGTGTGTGTGTGGGGGGTCAGCGCGGGGCTGGCAAGGGTCTGGGTCCAGGGCAAAGAACACACAGAGGGCTGGAAACGTCTCGCCACGTTGTCTCCGCATCCCGCACCCAAACCTTGTCCCCTCCCCTCCAGGTAAGAGTTGAGGGTCAGCAGATACGGTGCTGCTAAGGCTGTGGGTAGAATCAGTTACAGAGGTTAGTTAGGGTCAGCTTGGAGCCTGCTTTTGCTAGCTGTGTGCGCCTTTGTTTCCATTACTGCTTTGAGCTTCCGTTTCCTTCTCCATGAAGTGGAGATGAAAATAGTTACCGCATGAAGTTGGAAGCATGATAAGAGCATAAAATAAAAGGGCTTAGCACAGAGCGTGGAAAAAGCAGATGCTCCACAAACAGGAACCATCACTAGTATTGTCATGAGATTTGAAATCAGAAGACCTGGATCCATCACTTGCAGATCCTGTGACATAGGATGGGTTGCTTAACCTCCGTGCCTTACTTCCCTCTGCAGAATGTGGAGGATGGGAATTCTCACCCCACAGGGTTGCTGTGACACTTAGTGATGGAGCACGTTTAAAAGCACTTGGTTAAAACACAAGCCTAAAAAGCTGCGCAAAGAGGGGTTATTTTGCTCTCGGAACTGGCTGGCTCCCTGGGGAACAGGGAGCTTGATATGGGGTGACCCAGATGCTATCGTGAAGGCCTCTTTAGGTCCCATGGTGGCCAGGTCCGACTCGCCCTGCCCATGCCGCCCCTCCATCCCGCAGCAGGTGGGATGTGGCTTTCATGCTGTGGTTTCAGTGTCTTTCAGAATAAACACCGAGGACTTCTTGCTGGAAGTGCAGGTGAGGGCCCGGCCAGACTGGCTCCTGGTCTGCCATGAGGGCTGGAGCTCTGCCCTGGGGGTGCGGATCTGCCAGAGCCTTGGACATCTCAGGTAGCTGGGGCCAGAAGTGGGGCCTGGGGAGGGTGGAGAGCTGATGGGTGGGGGAGGAGCATTGAAGACCTCTATCTGTCTGTCACCATCAAAGTACTCAGGAGGTCATTTTGGTCATCTCCTGGCCTCTGGGCATGATGGTGCCCCAGTCTGTTTCTCTCCTTTGAACATCCTTGATTTTTAACAAATATAAATCCCAGAAGAGGTCATTGTCAAAGTCTTGTTCAGTCACTACACTGGTATAGTATCACATTCCGGTTATACTTAACCCCCATCTCTTGTGCTGACCGTCAGTTTAAAGCTGATTTCCTCCCGTTTTATTCCCTTCTCCTGCCAAGACTCACAGACCACAAGGCAGTGAACCTGTCTGACATCAGGCTCAACAGCTCCAGGCAGTTTGCTCAGCTCTCTCCTAGACTGGGAGGCCTCCCGGAGGAGGTGTGGCAGCCCAGGTAGGGCTTCTCGGGGGGCTGAGTGATGCCCCTCACTTCCTGGTGAGAAATCCAGCAAAAATCTTCCTATCATGAGAGCCTGGTGGCGAGGACACTGGAGGTGTAAGATAGGACAAGGAAGAGGAATATTTCCCAATTAGAAATTGCTAACTCAGCTCACAGGAGCCCTGCCCACCAAAGTTTCACATACATCATCTTATTTGCCCCTCACAAGAACGGCAGGATTGGGTGTTATTGTCAGAGGATTTGAAATGGTACTCCTATTCCCATTTTACAGGTGGGGAAACTGAGACTCAATGAAGTAAAGGGCCTTGTGCAAGGTCACAGAACTGATAAGCAGCCAAACCAGGTTCCTGTCTCCAAACTAGTCCCTCTCACCCCTGCCGCACTTTATTTGGATAATTCTGCTATCTCAGGAGAGAGATGGTTAACTGTCTGGAACCTGGAGACCCTCCAGAGAAGAGAGGGCTCTGGGATGGCCCCTTCCCCAAATCCTGGGGGTGGGTGCAAGCTGAGCGGGTTTTCACCCAGCCTGGGTGTCCTCCAGCTTTCCAGCAGCCTCCTCCTGTCCCTGCTCTAAAGCCTTCTCACCCCTTCACCACTGTTCCCGTCTGAATCTCAGAACCCTCCTGTCCAGCTCCTGTCCCCTGTGGGCTGATCAGGGGAACATGGGGTCCCTGTCTTAGATACCTTAATGGGCAAAGGGAAGTAGGCGTGGGACTGACTCTGCCAGGAGAGCCGGGGGGCCGTGGATTTGGGAAACTAGTAGAATCCAGGCATTAGGATGCTGGGGGCAAGAGAGAAGTCAAGAAAGAGGGCTTTGCTCCAAAAGGAGTTGATGTTTTTTCCTTTTTAAGAGTGTGTTTTTAAATTGTATTTATTTATTTATATTAGGCTGCACTATGTGGCTTGCGGGATCTTAGCTCCTCAACCAGGGATTGAACCTGGGCCCTCAGCAGTGAAAGCGTCGAGTCCTAACCCCTGGACCGCCAGGGAACTCCCAGGAGTTGAGGTTTATGCTAAGAAAGAGGAGGAGAAAGAGGAGAGCAGGCATATGAGCACACAGGGCCGGGCGAAGGGCTTGGGAGAGAGTGGGGTCATCTGAGGCCGCAGCACGGGACGAAGAACTGAGTCCATTCACTCACTCTCTTACCCACTCGTCCGCTGAGCACACATTACTCACGGGCCTTAGTGGGAACAGCCGGATTTTCACATTCACGAACGCTCCATTTGTAACTTTGGGCCCTGCCCAAATCCAACTGGAGGACCACGAAGTCCTGTGTGCCCGGGACGACTGGGCAGAGCACAGCTGCTGTCCCACAGACCTGCTACAAGCAGGGGCCTGGGGGCTTGGGTGGGGTCAGGAAGCAGGTGGCTGTGGCTACAGAGAGGCCCCTGCTGCTTTCCCCAACAACGACCCCCTCCCCCAGGCCCTCAGGTGGGTGTGCAGCCTGGGGTGGGCCCCGCCCAGCTTCCTGCTGGCGCTGCCTCTGTTTTGCAGGGGCAGCTGTACTTCTGGTCAAATGGTTTCCCTCAGATGCTCTGGTGAGTCCTGTCCTGGGTCCGGGAAGGAGGCGGTGGGAGGAGGGCGTCTCCCCCGTGCCCTCAGGGTGGGACATCCCCACTGGGAAGCTCAGCTGGGTCTGGGGTGGGGTTCCTTGCCCACCTGCCTGCAGGGCCCCTTCTTGCAGACAGAGTTCTGCCCAAACAGAGCCCTGTCTACACCTCTGTCCCATTCGCCACCAGCCACTGGTTTGGGTGGATGACCTCCTTGCCTCACTCCCCGCCCTGGCCTCTGATGTTCCCTGGCCTCTGGGGGCGCCCCAAAGGGGAAACAGCAGCTTCTGGAGACTAAGGATGGTGGGGAAAGAGGGGCCAAGTGAGAGACAGTTTGCAGAGTTCCTTTCACCCGCCTTCCCAGTCATCTAGCCATCTCTTCATCTGTCCTTCCACGCGTCTGTCCACATGCCACCATTTGACCCCTCCTATGGGAAAGGCGTTTTCTTAGATCCTGGGGCTCCATAGGTGATGCAGGCACCACCCCTGCTCTCAGCGAGCGCACCGCCTGATGGGGCAGGTGGATGTGTAAGCAACATTTCCAGCTTCCCGCCCCATGCTTAGGGCCAGGAATGATAAATGGGAGCCGTCCACGCTGGACCACAGGCCTCGATGGTTGGCACAGTGCTGACACCCACCCCGCATTCTTTCCATCTCACCAGTGCTTGTCTGTTTGCAGAGTGTGGGACCAGGCCCCTGGCTTCCCAGATAGTGGGCGGGCAGGCGGTGGCTCCCGGGCGCTGGCCCTGGCAGGCCAGCGTGGCCCTGGGAGCCCGGCACACATGCGGGGGCTCCGTGCTGGCCCCGCACTGGGTGGTGACCGCGGCGCACTGTGTGCACAGGCAAGGCTGGGGGCTGCCGGGGGCAGGGTGCCCCCTAGCACTTTCTCTTTGGCCGTTGGTGTGTCCTGTATACAATGTCCAGCTGTCCGCCTCCCATGTCTGCTGAGAGTGGGCCCGGGCGGTGTTTGTGAAATTCTCCCTGTTCAGTGCCAAGAACAGCTCTGCCTAGATAGCAGTCATAATACAAATATTGGTTCTTTAGTTTTGTTATGTCTTTACGTTTTTAAAATGCTTTCGCACTCACAGCCCTCCATGATTCTTAACGTTTATCACCACTGTAATTAAGTCACTTTCCATGTAATTATTTGTTTAATGTCTTTCTTCCCCTTTACACTGGAAGCTCCATGGGGGCAGGGAAGAGTCTTGTTTACCACTGAATCCCTTTGTTGATTTTTCCCCTGCCTTGTCCCCTTGGCCTGGAATATAGTAGGTGCTTAACAAATGCTGGTTGGAAGGAATGAAAGAGCTCTTCGGCCCTCTTCTCTTGATGGCAGGCAAGGCAGTGATGTAATCGTCATCTTACAGCGAGGAACCCGAGGCTGGGAGAGCCGAAGTGCCTCCCCAGCAATCACACTTAGGAAGTGCGGAGACAGCGCTGAGGAAAGCTCTGTTGACTCGGCTTAGAGCTATGATAATAACACAAGGCCCTTCCATGTTTGCTGTAAAACTTGAAGGGGGTTATGCCGGAGAGTGCAGGGGTGGTGGCCAATGATCATAGTGTCTCACTTCTCTCTCCATCAGTGCCTGAGCATTTATTAAGCACCTACTGCATGCCCAGTGTCTTGCCAGCTGCTGGGGGATTCTAAGAGGCCTGGGTTCTGGGAGCTTGCAGCCTGGTGATGGGGCCCCCACTAACAGCCGTGCTTGTTGGCTTCCTCCCCTCACCAACTCATTTATGTCAACGTCTCCGGCCCTTCCTCCCCCAGGCTCAGCTCAGCTCCCTTGTGCAGTTTCAGGCTGTCCCGCCGGTCCAGCTGGAGGGTCCATACGGGGCTGGTCAGCCAGAGCACGGTCAGGCCGCACCAGGGGGCTGTGGTGGAGCGGATCATCGCCCACCCTCTGTACAGTGCCCAGAGTCACGACTACGACGTGGCCCTCCTGCAGCTCCGGACCCCGCTCCACTTCTCAGGTGAGGCTGTGGTGAGAGGGGTGGCGCAGGGAGCGCGAGAGCCCCGTGGGTTCCTAAGACCCCCTTGTGCTGTGAGCCCAACGTTCACTTCATTTGGTGACCGTCATGGACTCTGGCATCACCTGGACCTGGGGTGGTGCCAACTCTTCCACACACTCTTTTGGGGACAAAGGTTCTGGCCCTTTTCCCATCTAGGCTGCAGGCGGGATTTGCCTCGAGGTCCCAAGAAGAGCTTCTCAGTGGCTCCATCTCCCAACAGGCTGCTGGTGCCAGGTCCCAGCTGGGCTATAGTGAATAATAGTTAACTATGTATTGACAGTTAATAGGATAACAGTTAATAACTAGCACCATGTTACGGTTAATAAGATTTACCTTACCAAATATTCTTTCACCCCATCCTCAGAACAAACCTGACAGGGAGCTGAGGCTGGTGTATGTAGATAAGGATGTTGACCTTTAGAGAGCGAATTGACTCTCTTCAAGTTCACGAGGCAAACAATTCCTGGGGCAGAGCGTCTCCTCCACAGCATCTGCCCTTGAAGGGCAGCTCTTCCACACGTATGTGCCAAGTGCACTCACCTACAGACACACATGCTCACAGATACACACACACACGTGTGCATGCCCTCACACGCTCACACACTCATGCAAGGCTCACATAAGTATGCACACCTACTCCTGTGCACACCTACTCTCACACCACACACACACACACACACACACACACACACACTCAGCACTCCTCCCTCCCGTTGCTACCTGGAGCCTTGGGTTTCCCCAGCAACAGTGGTTTCTCTATGCCGTTCGCAAATTCTACGTATATGGATGCTCTCTGCACCGTTGTTCAACAGTTAATGCTTCTAAATTGACATGAATATATTTAAAGGGAAACTTTAGGCTACTACCTAATTGGAGAATCCATATGACTTATATTAAATAGATAATAACCACAAAAATGCACAGAGTGAAAAGAAAACAGTGCTCAGGTCCCAGCTAGGCACTGTGCTCTGCAGGAACTGCCGCGTCAGGCCGCTCTCTCTGTGCTTGGAAGGGGTGGGCAGGCGTGAAGAGAGGTACAGAGTAGCACCAGACAGGCGCTTTCTCCTTGGTGCAGAAGAGGGGCTGAAAGAGAACCGAAGAGGAAATACTTTCTCCCAGCGAAGTGGCGTTTATCTAACGGCAGGTCTATGCATTATGTAAAATCAGGTTCAGGCTCTGCCCACAGGACAGGTTGCACACTTTTGGAAACCATGTCCCAAGAGGGTCCACACACCCTGGGGAAAATCCAAAATGGGTCCTCACTAGGAGAAGTTAGGTACAAACACCCAGAAGGAGTTTCCATCCCCCCTCAGCCCTAGGTGGGGATGCACCGTGTGTACACCGCCCGGCCTAGGGCACCAGGCACACTGCAGTTTCCACACTGTCCTCTGCGTGAATGGTGGCTCCCAGGTGGGGCAGTGCCTGACCCGCACAGCTGTACGGGAGGCCGGAGCCAGGACTGTTTGAGGAGGGGGCGTGGAGGACGCGCCCGCCCTGGTCCTTTGCCCAGGCTCGCGGGCAGGGAGGCCGAGCCGGAGTGGGACCCGGGACCACTGCCTCTCCGCAGACACCGTGGGCGCAGTGTGCCTGCCGGCTGAAGAGCAGGATTTTCCAAGGGGCTCGCAGTGCTGGGTGTCTGGCTGGGGCCACACTGACCCCAGTCACAGTGAGTCAGCTCCCAGGGCCCGGGGTGCACAGGGGTGTGGGTGTCGGGAGGCATCCTTTCCCAAGGTGAGGCACCTCCTCCTTCCCTGGCCACAGGGCAGCGCCAGCCGCCTTCTCCTCTGGCATCACCCTTGGCCAGCCCCAGGGGCCCCAGTCTCCCCTGTCTGGGTCTTTCTGGGAGAACAACCTGGTGTTTTCCCCTAAACCCAGGCCCCTTCCTCCCCCCTCCCCTTCTGCCAGGAGGGCCACGGCCTCAGCATCAGGGTGTATGTGTGGGGTCTACTCCTCCTCTTCGCTCACAGCCCCCAAGTCTGACGGACCCTTGCCTCCTCGCCCAGAGTCCACAGCTCCCATCCTGGGCTCCCCTCTTTGGGCCTCCGCACCTCCGGGGCCTCTAAGGCTCTCTTGCTGCCCTGCTTTCTCGGGCCTTGCTCTGCGCCCCTCCATCTCCGCATCTGCCTCCCGCAGCCCACAGGTCGGACACGCTCCGGGACACGGTGGTTCCCCTGCTCAGCACCCAGCTCTGCAACAGCTCTTGCGTGTACAGCGGGGCCCTCACGCCCCGCATGCTGTGTGCCGGCTACCTGGACCAGAGGGCCGACGCGTGCCAGGTGCAGGCGGGCGGGGGCCCGGTGTGGGGTGGGCGGGGCCTGCGGCCAGGCGTCCGTCTGACATCCTCTCTGGGAGCGGGGCGTCCAGGCAAGTGGGCAGCGCGCTGCGGGTTGAAGGGGGGCGCGAGGCAAGACGGGATCGTCCTGGAAGCAGGACCGCCTGGAACGCAGGGTGTGTTCCCAGCCCCGGGGTCGGCGGTTGGGGAGTGGTCTGCCGCCACTCCACCAGGAAGGACTAACTGCCTGTTTCTCTGTGTCCCGGTGCCTGGATGCCGCAGGGGGACAGCGGGGGTCCCCTGGTGTGCCTGGACAAGGGCACGTGGCGCCTGGTGGGGGTGGTCAGCTGGGGCCGCGGCTGCGCAGAGCCCAACCACCCCGGTGTCTACGCCAAGGTTGCCGAATTCCTGGACTGGATCCAGGACACGGCGCAGGTGAGTCGGGGGGCAGGTGGGGCAGACCCGTTTGTGAAGGACCAATAACCCTCGGAAACCGTGACCCTCATCCCTCGGGCCTGGGCCCTGCTGGGAGCTGGGGAATATTCCCAGACTGGGAGAAGGAAGAAGTGATGCTTATAACGTTGAATCCATTCTATCAATTTAAGCATTCACTAAGGAAGAGCTGACCTGAATTTGTAGCCCAGCTCTTCGATTTCCTGTGTGACCTGTGGCAAATTCCTAACTTTGGTAAACCTCAGTGTCCCGGTAGTAACCATCGTGGCTACTGTATATGGCATCATATGTGATGACGACATGAGGTAAGGCCTGCCCAGCATGAGGCTTAGAGCGAGGGATGCAGGTGTTATTATGTATTTACTTATGACCGTTACTCATCCCTGGTCGTGCCTGCTCTCCCTGCCCTAGGGAGAGAGCTCAGCATTTAGCAGTTTGAGTTCAGCAACTGATTCATTCTGTGTGATCCTGGGCCGGCCACACCACTTCACCCGTTCAGGGCAGGAACCAAGTGAGAGAATGTGTATAAGAGCACGTGATCTGTATGAAGTACTTTACAAACGCAGAGTGTGGTCGTGGGAAGCACCCTTCTGCGAGGTTGGGCTCAGGGCAGGCGGTAGATAATTAGAGTTTACAGGGGACCTATGCGTCCACCTCCTCATTCAAACCTTACAAAAACCTAGAGAAGCAGATACTTTAGCCCCATTGGACAGAAGTGGAAATGCAGGTTCTGAGTGGCACAGTGATTTATTAAAATGCTAGTTACTCGGCTAACCGAGGGTGGAGCCACTCTGTAGATCAGCTCCTTTCTCTTTCAGCCCAGGACTCCCTCCCCTGGTCCTGTTGTTTCCTCAGTCTCACTGCATACCAGCCTCATGTTTCCTGGGGTCTCTGGCAGGTCCACTAGATGGAGGAGAAGCTGCAGCCCCGGATGCAGAAGGTGTGGATCTCTTATCACTGCACAAGAGACAGTCACCACCCACTGGCCAGCCTCCAGGCCACAGGGCCTCTCCACTCCAGCCCTGATTTCCAGCCCCTCTATCTCACCAGAGAGCCTCAATGACAGGAGAGAAGCTGGGGTTGTGTTGGGAAGGTCGGGGAGCCAGGAGGTGGGGAGGGAGCAGCTGGAGAGGAGGAGGGTGCTGGCGGCAGTCGGGAGCCTGCCCTTCTGCCCCCTCCCAGCCCCCCAGCCCCTGTGCGCATCTTTTGGGAGGATGCTCAGGGATGCCCTGGGCCTGCCTTCTCCCTGTGATCTCAGGCGGGGAGATGCCTCCCTACAGACCCAGGTTGGGAAGCTCCTGGGCAGATGGGGTCAAGGCTGGACCGGCCCAGGTGAAGCCCATGGAGTCAGGATCCGCCCCACTCTTCTGTCGATCTCACCTACTTCCTGCTCTCACTTGGCTCTGACTGGCCCTGCTGGGGCGGGGGCGCACTCTGCTTGGTGTTGGAATAGGGCGTAGGGTTTAAATGACAGTTCTGTGAGCTGGTCCAGGACTTCCGGTATTAAAGTGAAATGATGTATGGCCTCGGCCCCGTCCTCCCCCCACCCCCCTTCTCTCTCTTTCTCTCACACCCACATTAAGGGGTAGTAGAATTACAACTTTCCTCCCATACATGTTTCTTAAAACTCTGGAACAGACTTCTGCTCATATAATTCTGTACATTTGTTAAATCTACATGTTATGATTGACAACAGAAAGCCCCAGCCTTCCAGGTGCTCTGATGCTGCAAGTCTGAGTGCCACTGAATCAGTGCTCCCTCCAGGAGGGTCTGGCTTCCCCATGAGACCCATCTCTCCTCAGCTCTTGTTTCAGGACTGGGCCTTCTGGCTCGGGAGATGTCTTTCTGAGTTTCTACCCAGTTAGCATTTTCCTGGTTAAGCTTCTCCCCCACTCTCTCCTCTCTAGCAATTAAAATGCAATTGGTATCTTATTTCTAAAAACCGCAATGAATTTTTTATGGTGCTTACCCAAGGAAATGCAATTAGCGTTTAGCAATAACACAACTTTTTTGTGAGTTTATCAGCATTTTTTTGAGGGGTAGTACGAATGAATATTCATTCCTGGAGGGTCTGCTTCCTTTGCAAAGAAGTGCTTTAGAAAAAAAAGGGCCACAATTTACTGTCATTTAAAAACAGCTGGGGAAGTGGCTGCTGGGAGTCTGCTGCCCAACTGCAGAAGCAACGTGGGTGAGGCCCTGGCAGGTGGTGGGTAGTCTGACCCTGTGTTCTGAGAGCCCCGACCTCCAGCCTCCATCCCGAGATCAGCATTTACTACCCGACTCTGGTGGGTCCCCACTTCAAGAGGCGCTTTCAGGGCTGCCGATCTCTCTGGGCAGGGAAGAGGTACCAGCAAATCCATCAGCGATGATCTTTTTTGTGTTTCTGTTGTTGCCCATAGGCGTTTGCTTATTTAAAGGGAGGTTTTTATTTACCACAGTCATTGTGATCTGTTAATAACCAGTAACACTTGGATACTATTTTACGGTTTATCAATCCTGCTCACACGTGGTATCCCATTTAGATCTCACACCATCTATGTGGTGAAGATATTATTATTGCGCGCATTTCACAGGTGAGAAAATTCATTCAGAAAGATGAAGTGACTTCCCCAGGACCAGCCCGCTAAGAAGCGCCAAAGCCAGGATGGGAACTTCGAGCCTTTTCACGCCAAATTCACATCCTTGTTTTGCACACGGATGAACGAGATGGTCCAGTATTACACAGAAGTATAGAATGGGGAGGTTGGTTTAGTCACCTGCCTACAGTAATGCATTGCTATCCCTCTTTTTTATAGGTGTTAACCAAAACCTGGGAAGTGGCTCCTGCCAGAGACCCTTCCTGGGCAATGTTCTTACAGATTTCCAGTTCTGCATGGTCTGACTTAAAATGTTACAAATGAGTATTTTCCACAGGAGGACGATAGATAAAAAGAATCCTAATTAGAGAATTTGCTAATAACGATTCCCTGTTTACCTATAGAAGGTCCTGGTATCTTTCACCAGGCTACCAGTCAGATCTACAGACTCAGAGGCTCTCACCTGCCCTTCCTGTATTGGCAACTGCCAATCCAGCCCTTAGGAAAGTGAGGAAAAGTGGGTGCCCTGGGCCGGCTGCTGGAGGGCAGGGCTGGAGATGGGAGCAAGGAAGAGTGACAAGATTCAGGTCCGGAAGGATTTTAATGAGGACCAGCTGGGTGCCCAGCTGTGTGACGCTCTGCAGGGAATTCAGAGGCAGAGAAGCGGCTGCCTTATTGGAGCCATGAGACGTATTTGCAATAAATTATTAGCGGCCAGCCAGGCACGAGGCTGAGTGGTGCGGCAGTAATTGCTAAGGGAGCGCCAAGGGCCTCTTGTTGACTAAGTCAGGGCATTTCTGTGTGCAGGAAACCTGTCTCTCTCCCCAGGGATTCAGCATCCCACTTGCCTGGGCAGAGCTTGCCAGCCTCCTGAGACTTCCCAGGAAGGTGGCTCCTGGCTGCCAGGCCCAGGGTAGAGCCCTTCTCTCATCTACTCCTTCTCTGTGCTTTGGGGGTCTGGAGGGTACAGCGGGGTGCAGGCTCTCTCTCCTTGTTAGACTTTCCGTGGAGTCCTGCTTCTCCTAGGAGAGTTGCTGTGAACGAGGGGGCAGCCCTGTCATTCCTCGGAAACATTTCTCGGGCTGTTTCCTGCATTTTATTTTTGGAAGTGTTGGGTTCACCCACAATAGGACGAAACTGTAAATGCTAGAGGGTGGTACAGCAGCTGTCAGGAGATGGTCTTCCTGAGTCTCCCCACTGTTTTTCTCTCTTCTTCCTTCTCTGCCCTCTCCTGGCCATGTACTTAGGACCCTCCTCATTGCTCAAAAGAGAACCCACCTACACCTGCTCCCACTCTTTCGCCTCCCTCGTCATCCTGGGTCTGGATCCCTCCCCACCTCCCTACGTAGACACACCAGAATGTATCTTTGTGTTTGCGTCACTGGGGCTCTGCTTCCTGCTAAACTCATTGGAGCCCAGTATGCTTAATGGCCCTTTAAACCGTGTCTTAAATACCTCCACCTCTAGGAAGGCTCCTTATCGTAGGTAGGGAGCAGCTTCCTACTGAGAGGTGAAGCTGGTCTTTCTTACACATTCTGAGGTCAGGAAAAGGAGGGGCGGAGCCTGCAGGCAACCTCTGCAGACTTCCTGTGCCCCCGGAGCCCCAGGGCCGAGCAGTGCAGGGAAGTCTGCTGGCGGGTTTTCTCCTGGGCTTGGTGCTGGGGTGGACCACGCTGGGGACTCAACAGAATGGAGAGAGGAGTCCTGGCTCCAGAAGGCGTGATCTGTCACTAATGTGACAGGAAGGCGGGGGCTTTCACAGGCCTGGGCTTATCTTCTGTGCATCCTCCCTTCCAAGGAATCTCTGGCTGTGGCATCTGATGGTGGACAGTCCCGTCTGGGTCTTTAACCACTGGAGAGTGTGCTGCCCTGAGCTAGTGACTCAGCCTTCTTGGAGTTTGGTCTCCCATCTATCAAATAAGGGGTCTGGGTGAGGGCGTCTCCGCGGGATCTGCCTTTTCAGGCCGCCTTTAACACAAACCTCTGCTGCCTCTGGAGACATCTATCTGCAACCCCAACACCCAGTCAGGACACCCATGGAGAAGAGCTTGTTCCCTGGGACAGATCTAAAGGAACAAGCTTGCTCTGCTGTGTCAGGCCCTCTCCAGGACAGCGCTCTGACTGCCCTCTGTGTCCTGGGAGGATGAGGCACCAGGCAGAAGATTTTAAAGCCATCTTTCCCCATGTCCCATGTACACTGGCGAAGGGTTCAAGGACAGGTTTTCTCAGGGGCTCCCCAGCTCACTTCCCAACACTCCAGGCTTTGGGTGGGGCCCCATGGTTGCCAGCTCCATAGAGACAGTGAGGGAATTTCCTCCCTGCCCTGAAGTCCGCAGACACTTTTCTTCTGCCTACTTTCCCTTGACAGCTCCTGAGCTGCCCACAGGACCCCCTGCTCTCCAGCCTTTCCTCCTGCATGTGGCCCAGTAGTGAAGAAAGTTTTCCGCCCGCAGAACCATTACCAGGCAGCTTGGGTCCAAGCTGTCCTCTGTCCCGAGCCATGTGTCAGGCTCACAGAGGGTGGAGCCTTTCCCATGGCCCCTCAGTTAGGGGAACCCCACCTTCCCAGATTGCCCAGGACTGTCCCAGTTGTAACACCAGAAGTCCCGTGTCCCCAGAAGCCCTGCAGTCCTGGGCAAACTGAGACAGTGGGTCATGCTAAGTCCATTGCCTCTCTTCTGTATAAAAGGCAAAATCCAGCTCCCCTTGGCCTCCTCCAGTCCCCTTTTGGTCTGATTGAGCTTAAAAGCAGCTTTCCCTGGTGGCCCAGAGTTGCAGGAGGAGAGGCTCCCAGGAATTCTCAAGATCTGGACTCTTTTGCAGAGATGCTGCCTTGGTCCAGAGGCTGTTGGAGTGAGAGTCCCTCCTTCCACAGGGGCCACAGCTGACCTGGCTGCCCATCCTTCCCCTCGGTGACTCCTCAGACGGCACCCAGGGCAGCCGCAACTCATCTTGCCAAATGTTTTGAGCAAGCTGCTCCTGGAAGCCAGGAATACTGACTGCCCAGTTTCCCCAGGTCTCACTGCTTTCTGGTCTCCAGAGCGTGGTACAGGGCTTAGCATGTGATAGGTGCTCGCTGAGCTCTCTCAGGAGGAGGGGATGGGGTGGGGGGAGCTGCCACCCGCATCAGAGCTGGGTCGGTCTCTTCTCCTGGCCTCTGCCTCCTGGAGGGGATCAGAGAGGAGCAAAGAAGAGGCTGCCAGACTGCTAGAGCCCGCGGGGATTTGGTGGGGTTTGTTTTTCCTCGGCACTGTCTGCAGACGCGAGGGCATGAATAAAAAAGTGAGGAAGATTTACTGTTCCCACAGCTTGGCAGTAGCCCTGTATTTGTACAGCGGATCCGGGGGAGGAGAGGCGGGAGCAGGTGGGGATGCTGCTGGGGCTCGGACAAAGTCAGACCCTTGTCAGTCTTTTTGCAAAGACTGTGGGGTGCAAGTGAAGGTGAGGCTGGGAGGGGTCTACTTAGGCCAACTCTGTAACTACCGGGGTCCGGAGTGCCCTCCCCCCCTCCAGCCTACCCCCTGCAGGAGCCAATAGCAGGTAGCTTGGGTCCTTGAATCTTTAACCCCAGGGGCACATAACGTGCTGGGCCTGACAGGCAGTGCTGCCAGTGGGGACCCCGAAAGAAAGGGCCTCAGGCTGGGCTCAGCTGTCACTCATGGCCCTGGTAATGGACACAGGCGGCAAATGACTTTGAAAAGTGTCTTGCCATGACAAATATACCTTCTTAAGGATGTGAAAGGCCAGATGTGAATTTAGAATCCTTGAGTCTTTGGATTCTGTCCCGGAGCATGGTGGTGTCGGGAGAGCTGGTCCTACCCAGGGTCTTGTGGGAACCACGTGGGGCACTAATCCTGCTTTGAGGGGGGTGCCCACCAGTGGGGTCTGCCCTCAGGGACAGAGCCCTGTGCAGTCTCAGGGCCACTTGAATCCCAGGGTCTAGAAAGGGGCACACGGGCTCTGGGTGGGCATATTAGCTCAGCCCTGTGAGCTTCTCCCCTCAGGGAGAGTCTGGTCAAGAAGGGCCAGGACAGGATGAGGCAAGTGAGGCATGGCTCTCAGCATCCCATAGGGCCAGCTGGCTCCTGCCTCACCCTGGTCTTAGCCCTACAGGACAGGGTCCTATAAAGTAAGCATCCCAGAGCAGGGAGGGCTTCTCTTGTCTGGTCTCCATGGGAGCTGAAATTTATTCTGGTCCATCAAATGAGACAGAGGTAAGATGCCAGAAGGAGATGGTCTCTTCTGAGCACCCTCTCTCCTCTGAAGCACTGGCCACATTTCAGGGAGCCCCACTTCCATCAGCCCTGACCCCATGATGGTCCCTGGGCTCATGCCCAGTGGAAAAATACCCAGAGTGATTCTTTATGATTCCCATTCACGAGGTCTCTCAGAAATTAATTCATATAGGTGGGCGGAGTCAAGATGGCTACTAGGACGCGGAATTCGCGTCTCCTCACAACTAGGGCATCTACCAGGCACCAGTGGGGGGACCACGCACACCTAAGGGTATGAGAGGGACCCCCAGTGACCAGGTAGGACGTGGGGCATGGGGGGAGTGAGGGGGGAGAAGTGGAGGCGGGCCGGGACTGGCGCCGCGGGGGGGGGGCGGGGGGAGGGGAAGGGATCCTACGCCCGAAGGGGGAAATTGGGGAACCCCTGGAGGGCAGAGGATCAAAAGGGAGCGTGGCCAGGTTTCCCCTGCCCACTTGGGCCCCTAGGAGAACCTGCTGAGGTTCAGGGTCTGAACCTCTGCCCACCGAGGCCCCCTCCAGCCATGTGGGTCCTGAGGGGAGGGGGAGGGAGGGAAGGGGGAGCAAAAGTAAAGGCAGGACCTCTGGGACCGGCACCCCTGAGGGGCGGCTGGGGGAGGGGAGGAGTTCCTACACCCAGCGGGACCCACCCACGGTCAGGGGTCCAGCGGCAACAGGGGGGAGGGGCGCGAAGGAACGGAAGGGAATGCTGCCAGTGCTTTCCCCGTCCACTTAGGCATCACGAAGCCTGTTGGGCTCCCGGGCCTGATCTTCTGTCCTCGGAGCCTCCCTCCTGTCGTGCAGAGCCCAAGCCGCACCCCTACACCCCTACCCGGGGCCCCACCTCTACACTCGGACACCCCTTCTGAGACCCCCTCCAACGCGCTGGGCATAAACCCCACACACACACCCTCACCCAGGGCCCTACCTCCAAATTCCAGAATCCCACACTCCAGACGCCCTCCTTTCCACGAGTCGCCTCTCCCCTTCCCCTGCAGGTCCTAATCAGAGACCCCACCACACGCTTGAATGTCACCCCCCACCCACCTAGGTCCCGCCCGACCCTAAACCCCACCCCTACCTAAGTTGCACCCCCCGCCTAAACTCCGTCCCCATAGCGAAAGGTTTTTGATTTTGCTTTTTTCCTCTTTTAGATTGGGGTTCTGTTTTACCTTGTTGATTCATTGTTGTGGATTCTTTTATATTTTTATTTTTCCTAATAAATCTTTTATTCTTTATACTTTATTATTGTTCTCTCCTTTTGGCTTGTTCTCCCCCCTCCCCTTTTTTCTTTTTTCTGTTGTGTTTTTTTTTACCTTGTCACAGTTGTTTCAATTATAGTTTTATTTTTCCTAATATCTTTTTTATCTTTCTAATTTTATTTTGTTTTTTATTCTTTGATATTGTACTACTCCTTTTTTTTCTTCCTTTTCTTTATTTTACTTTTACCGTGCCACGAAGCTTGCTGGATCTTGGTTCCCAGGCTGGAGGTCCAGCCAAGCTTCTGTGGTGAGAGCTCTGAGTCCAAACCACTGGACTAACAGAGAACCTCAGACCCCAGGGAATGTCAGTTGGAGTGAGGCCTCCCAGAGGTCCTCATCTCAGCACCAAGACCCAGCTGTATCCAACTGCCTGCAAACTCCAGTGCTGGACACCTCAGGCCAAACAACCAGTAAGACAGCACCACCCATCCAAAAAAAAAAAAAAATGAAACGACAAAAAAAATGTTACAGATGAAGGAGCAAGGTAAGACAAAATATGTAACAGATGAAGGAGCAATGAAGACGAAATAGGCAACCTACCTGAAAAAGAATTCAGAGCAATGACAGTAAAGATGATCCAAAATCTTGGAAACAGAATGGAGAAAATACAAGAAACATTTAACAAGGATCTAGAAGAACTGAAGAGCAAATAAACAGTGATGAACAACACAATTACTGAAATTAAAAATACTCTAGAAGGAGTCAATAGCAGAATAACTGAGGCAGAAGAACGGGTAAGTGAGCTGGAAGATAAAATGGTGGAAATAACCGCCAGGGAGCAGATTAAAGAAAAAAGAATGAAAAGAACTGAGGACAGTCTCAGAGACCTCTGGACAACACTAAATGCACCAACATTCAAATTATAGGGGTCTCAGAAGAAGGAGAGAAAAAGAAAGGGTTTAAGAAAATATTTGAAGAGATTATAGTCAAAAACTTCCCTAACATGGGAAAGGAAATAGTTAATCAAGTCCAGGAAACACAGAGAGTCCCATACAGGATAAATCCAAAGAGAAACATGCTGAGACACATACTAGTGAAACTATCAATAATTAAATACAGAGAAAAAATATTAAAAGCAACAAGGCAAAAGCAACAAATAACATACAATGGAATCCCCATAAGGTTAACAGCTGATTTTTCAGCAGAAACTCTGCAAGCCAGAAGGGAGTGGCAGGTCATATTTAAAGTGATGAAGGGAAAAACCTACAGCCAAGATTATTCTACCCAGCAAGGGTCTCATTCAGATTCGACAGAGAAATTAAAACCTTTACAGATAAGCAAGTGTTAAGAGAATTCAGCACAACCAAACCAGCTTTACAACAAATGCTAAAGGAACTTCTCTAGGCAGGAAACACAAGAGAAGGAAAAGGCCTACAAAAACAAACAAAAAACTATTAAGAAAATGGTAATAGGAACATACATATCGATAATTACCTTAAATGTAAAAGGATTAAATGCTCCAACCAAAAGACATAGATTGGCTGAATGGATACAAAAACAAGACCTGTATATATGCTTTCTACAAGAAGCCCACTTTAGACCTAGGGACACATACAGACAGAAAGTGAGGGGATAGAAAAAGATATTTCATGCAAATGGAAATCAAAAGAAAGCTGGAGCAGCAATTCTCATATTAGACAAAATAGACTGTAAAATAAAGACTATTACAAGAGACAAAGAAGGACACTACATAATGATCAAGGGATCAATCCAGGAAGAAGATATAACAATTGTAAATATCTATGCACCCAACATAGGGGCACCTCAATACATAAGGCAAATGCTAACAGCCATAAAAGGGGAAATCAACAGTAACACAATCATAGTAGGGCACTTTAACACCCCACTTTCACCAATGGACAGATCATCCAGAATGAAAATAAATAAGGAAACACAAGCTTTAAATGATACATTAAACAAGATTGACTTAACTGATATTTATAGGACATCCCATCCAAAAACAACAGAATACACTTTCTTCTCAAGTGCCCATGGAACATTCTCCAGGATAGATCATATCTTGTGTCACAAATCAAGCCTCGGTAAATTTAAGAAAACTGAAATTGTATCAAGTATCTTCTCCGACCACAATGCTATAAGACTAGATATCAATTACAGGAAAAAAACTGTAAAAAATACAAACACATGGAGGCTAAACAATATGCCATTAAATAACCAAAGATCACTGAAGAAATCAAAGAGGAAATAAAAAAATACCTAGAAACAAATGACAATGAAAACACGATGACCCAAAACCCATGGGATGTGGCAAAAGCAGTTCTAAGAGGGAAGTGTATAGCAATACAATCCTATCTCAACAAACAAGAAAAATCTCAAATAAACAACCTAACCTTAAACCTAAAGCAATTAGAGAAAGAAGAACAAAAAAACCCCAAAGTTAGCAGAAGGAAAGAAATCATAAAGATCAGATCAGAAATAAATGAAAAAGAAATGAAAGAAACAAGAGCAAAGATCAATAAAATGAAAACCTGGTTCTTTGAGAAGATAAACAAAATTGATAAACCATTAGCCAGACTCATCAAGAAAAAATGGAAGAAGACTCAAATTAATATAATTAGAAATGAAAAAGGAGAATAACAACTGGCACTGCAGAAATACAAAGGATCATGAGATATTACTACAAAAAACTATATGCCAATAAAATGGACAATGTGGAAGAAATGGACAAATGCTTAGAGCACAACCTTCTGAGACTGAAGCAGGAAGAAATAGAAAATATAAACAGACCAATCACAAGCACTGAAACTGAAACTGTGATTAAAAATCTTCCAACAAACAAAAGCCCAGGACCAGATGGCTTCACAGGTGAATTCTATCAAACATTTAGAGAAGAGTTAACACCTATCCTTCTCAAACTCTTCCAAAATATAGCAGATGGAGGAACACTCCCAACCTCATTCTACGAGGCCAC